GCAGGTCCTCATAGGCCAGAGCATTTCAGGAAACCGCCCACCCTCTGTCTGAAATGCGGAGATCTTCACTGGCCCCAAAAAATCCTAAGTGGTCATATTAAAGTAAGGGAAATTACCTAAAAGGAGTTTGTTGTGAAAAGCGGAAAGTAGAGAACAGTAGAACACACGGTTTACTACATCAGCCAACAAAGTAAGATTATGTAGTGCTAGTTAAGCAATATATAACGGCAATATATAATTCGACTGCAGGATCCCTAATAAACAGCAAGAACTAACGGTACGACTTGCCAGATGTAAGTCTGGGAGAACTACCGCTGATTCAGCGTAGACATGTCGTGACAGAACACAAAAATTGAAATATTTACATGGGCAAGCCGCAGCTGAGATTTTGCATACTGCAGAAGATATTTTCGGTTGACTAAACAAAGATGTATGACTTTCGTAAATATATCTAATCAAAGCATATCTTCAAATCGTGGTTAAAGGTGGGCGTCACTAAGAGAGCTCTTGATTCAGTCGGTTATCATTTGAGGTTAAGGTAATGTCACTTTTACAGAGCATTTTTACTAGGCCCTTAAAAACGCCGTACTTCTCTTGACCACTTGCTAAAAATAATGTATGTTTTTTTTTTGTATGATACCGTTTATCAACAGAAACGGTGAAGCAGAAAACTAAATTAACCAGTGAAGATTTTTGACCAGAAATATGGCGCGATTTCAACTGCAAAGATGGATTTCTTTCTTGAACAAAAATATGCTATAACAAAATTGTTATTCCAGATCCTTCTCAAACACAGATTCGGCAAACTCCACGTCGGAGGCACGTGAAACACATTTCTACATTTGGCCGTTATACTGGAGTATGTTTCCCAATATAGCGCTGTATACCTTTTCCGGTCACGGCCGCGTAACGTGGCGACCCCTTAGCTGTAGAAAACAACTCAGCTCACTATAGCAAGAGGCCTGTGGTAACGCAGCTGCAACAACTTGGAGAGTATTGGTGGTGCCCATTCAACCTTTACCAGTACCCTCGTTTCGTCCTTGAATTCTCGCGGGGTAGACTTTCCCCGCTTGAGCCGTAACTTTATGTGCCGAAGTGTTGAATGTGCTCTCCGATGCTATTCATTGGCACATCGTCTCTCAGCATTTTTACAACTAGAAGGCTCTTCGGGCAATACAGTCTGACGGCTGGAAAGTGATTCGAATGGTGTTCCTTTGAAGTTCGCGTTGGTGTATGTGTTAAGCGGAAACGTTACCCGAGACAGCAGCTCTTAAAGCGAGTTGTGTGTTTTAGCCACCAGGAAACCCAGGAACGCCTTTGGAATCATTCGAACAATGCAGTCGACCAGTCCATCGCATCGCGTGTGTCCGACAGTGACGTTGATACGTTTAATGTGGTGTCGCCCTGCGTAGCCGCGTAGCTTGCGTATCATCGCGATGTGAAGCACGTCGTTTGGTCCGTCAAAATGGCCTCTAAGTTTTCGAAGGAGCGCTGCACGGCTTTCAACACCCAAATCATGGAACCCGATAACGCCTCTTCGTATTAACCCAAACTGGACAAAACGGGCAATAGTGGACCAATACCAAAGTCTGAAAAACTTTACCGCATGGGTCGCAAAGAGCTCATGGACTCTCATATCACCCGTTCAAGGCACCTTTAAATGCTAAGACAGGTTGGAACGTATTGCGTTGTCTTGGATTTTCATTACGCTGCTCGCAGATGAAATCGACACCTTCTGAGCCTGCATTGAAAGCCCCGACCCTGATAAAAAAAAAAAACGCTTTTTTTAACGGGTTGCAACGCCTTTCGGGTGCCAACATGCCCTACCATTTCTGTCTCGCGTGATAGTAAGTAAAAGCTTCTTTCATCTGGTAGAGTATGGGCAGTGTTTCCTCTCCTTCCAAGCCTAGTTTGCTCTCACTGGCGGTTTATATGAAATTTTGCACAGATTGCGAGCTAGCTTTACGTCGTGGTTAACGCGAAAAAACGCCGACCAAGGCTGGCCTTTAAAATCATATAGATGTCGAAGTCAGATGAATAGGCTATAACATTGTCGAGAAAAGCGAAAGCACTTCAAAACGCCAACGACTTTGCCCACCATTTTTGGAAAGGTCATGGATGCGCTGGCGAGGCTGAATAGTCAACGCGGAGATGTACATCCCATCTTTTTCTGTTCACCAGGATTGCAGGAGAGAATCACCGAGATGGTGATTCGATAATGCTGTTGCGCAGCACAGACTGAACGCTTATAGCCTGCTATTCGTCGGGTACGACCTGTCGCGGCTAAGAGTTGATCGTGTGCTGAACAAGATTGGTGTCGGTGAGATGGCCCAAAGAGGTGGTCATATTGACCTATGAGAATCTCTACCAGGCGGCCATGTTACTTTGCTGTACACCCTATACTTCCCCTAAAAAATCCTATATGATCAAGCGAGCAAATGGGACCCCGTTTGCCCCAAGAATCACTTTAGAGTTGCTATATTTAACCCAGGTGATGCGAGTTTTTATTTTGGTTGGTGGTCCTCTGTTAAGTTTGCGAGTACCGTCAGTTACTGGCCTAGCGCATCCACGCTTACAGCATTGTATGGTGAAGCATACGAGCGCCCTGAATGATAGCTTAGGACCGCGCTAACTTTCCACTTGCAGTATAGTACCACGGTGGTTTGTTTGGGCTGCTACGCACACTGCTGTACTATATTGGACCTCCCAGTGGTCCTACACTAGTTATTACAAGGTGAATTATGTTTCTGAATAAGCTTTCTTCTTAACAAATAGAATCAGATCCTTCGTGAGCTTGCCAACGGTGAGGAAGGCTTCTCCAAGCCTGTTATCGACTGCAAAATTATTCATCCTTAAAATCGTTAACAGCGGACGCTGAGCATCGTACGAACACACGAGTTTCGAAGACCGTGCAATATATGGGGAACGCAACTTATCCACGAACCGGAAAAGACTGCGTTCATGTCCATCTCGAAGTCGACTACTGCACCTAGATTTTCGTAATGATGTTTAACCGCGAGCACGAACGGGCCGTCTTTTCGTCGTTTGTGCAACTTAAGTTTTGACAGAAACTTCAGGCATTGGTCCTTAAAGTGACCCCGCTCCTCACAGTTAAAGCATTCGCACTCGGTTGCTGGAAGTTCATCTCTCTACTGCGTCGCGCCGGCTATTAAGTGCCGATTGGAACCTAATCCCTTACGTTTCCGAGTTTTAGTATTCGAAGGAGAATCGCACTTGAAAGTCTGGATAGTAGCTCGAAACTATCATTTTGTTATTATTCTTTGATGTCTCTTAAGGCGTCTTTTAGGGCGTATGGTAATTCTAACAGGCCCATCGGGAAGCGTTTTTTTTGGATAACGGTATAAAAGCATTCCCCCGTCGTCTCCTACAAACATAGTACTGAGATGAATCGGGGGCCACCTCTTCTGGAAATTTTTCAAACAGCTTCGTTTTCAAGCATACGCTGCTTGCATTGCATACGCTATGACCGTCTCGAACCATGGCCTTGTCGACTTTGGAAGCAACCCTAAGGTTGCTCTCAGAAGCTGGTGAGAAGGCTACCCTTGGGCATCGACAGAATTCATTTGCTGGGCGCCCAGCGGTTTTACTGCGGCAAGTGGTGAAGACGAACCAACAGTAAAGCAAAGTTGATGACAACCACTGACATGTAGACGATAAAAGTCACAAGCATGGAGCTAGCTTTCGCTATGTCCTAGTCGCTTACGTTGAGGTGGTTACCACTAGCTGATCAACGCGCTGACCTCGTCCGTAGTTAACGCCGAATATTGTCATCCATCTGGCTAACATTATTATTCCGAATTCTATCAACTGTCGCTGCCTCAAAAATGCCATGGATAACAAATAATCTGCTGCTGGCAAACTGCTATTTATTTGATTTTATGCAGTCCCTTTTATGCAGATCTCGGCCACATTTACCTAAAATATAATAATATTAGTTTATATTAATAATATAAATATTCCTAATGTTCGCGTTGCACATGTATTATATTACATATGTACATATATTACATACATATGTATATATTACATATGTATTATATTACATATATGGGTTAGCCTGATCCGTGCAGATAGTTTATTATATTCGCTTCTAATTAAAATGATCCAATAGAATTAACAATATGAAATGAACAAGTATAATGTATGATGCAACGCTTTTACATTATGTGTTCTACGCGGCCCTTCCAGTAACGTTGGAATCGTATATATTGTGGTGGGTAGGTTTCCCACGGTTTGCGGCGAACATATGTGTATCCTCTTTCTGCATGCATCAAAATTTAAACAGGTTGCGTTTTCTTTCCTTTAAATTTTTTTCAGTTTGTCTGCTAAAATACTTCTTACATTTCGATACTTGATTACCCAGATTTTTCTGCTATCGGTCTTTTTTTACTGCTACCATTGCGGTATTTGCGACACTAGGTAGACAACGTGCGGAAAACCTATCCAAAGTGATTTAAATGTGACGCAGTACTCAATATATAGCGAATTGCTATGCTCATTTGTATTATTTCTTGATAACTGCGCAGACCTCGGCCTGCATAGACTGTTATTTTTAAAAATGAGTACGGGTTGCTAACATCTAGAAGCAACTAGACTTACCTGAAATGTGCTTGTTGGATATTAAGAGGCTCGTCCACATTATTAGTTAAATCTAAGAAATTAAAACTTCGGGCCTACGCGAGAAATATTACAGTCAACACCACATGTCATTATGATTTCTTTTAGCAAAACAAGGAATTAGAAAGGTTTTGGCAGATTTTTTCGTCACATGAATATGTTGCAATCAATTTGTACATTAAATTATTTCAAAAAATAAGCTAAAAAAATATTATAGGTAGTTTTTTTTTAGAAATTGCTTGTTCCATGCTGATGTATAAGCCGTAAACTACGTACATTTTATGCTAAAAAGACTTGACAGTTTTGAAAAACATAGCATATGTGAATATATTTCTACATTAATAGATGTGGTTCCCATTTAGGTGTTCGAGGTCGAGCTCAATGCGGCGCCGACTTGCCTCATTATGATAGCAATTCTGATTTCGTCGACGCTTCCGTTAAAGGACTTTCCTGCTAAATTTAACGAACATACGATGATTCAACGAGTGCGATGTGCATTCGGCCTCGTGGGCCTTCAACAAACCCTTATGTGCTTTACAAGGCAACGCGAATGCAAGGGACGGCGCCAATTAATAATGATTATCTTCATGTTCGCAACACCGTCAACTTATATCGGTGGTCAGTATAAACAATGACGCAGCTACATAACTAGAACTACTATGTCAGTTGGGGATCATTGTTCAAGAATTGACCGTTGCTGAGAGAATCTTACACCAGTATTGTTTACACATACCATATAAACGCCTAGAAACGATTGAAGTTAATTTTAAAATTTGGTATAAGGAGAGTTTTACAAGTTGGCTATCGGATTCTTTTGGTCATTGGCATTTTTATCTTAAGAAATGGAAAGGGGTAGCCATATAGCCTTCGTAGTTACTGCCGGTCTTGGTCCGAGGTCTTTGAGTTCGAGAATTCTGAAAATGGCTATTTTTAACGGATAACGTATCTGCTCTTAGGTTATTTTCAGGTTTGATTAAAACAGTAGAGGATTACCAACGGCGCAGCAGAGCGATTAACCTTCTATCATATCTGGCTAGTTTCCTCAAATTCATTGCAAAGAATTCAGCTTGGCTGCAAACGTACATTGCCCAGCTGCTATATCATTCACGTTTCTCAAATCCTTGAGATCCGTAGAAATCTACTTAGTAGCGCTACTCGAATTGAATCTAATCTGCCACTTTCAGACGTTAAAATCTCAAGCCAGAAGCAATTTTGGTTGCAGGGTTATGTTTTCTGATTATTGAAGCCACGCTGTCTAAAATGTTCTAGAAAATGGTTATATTATCGGTACTCTTTTCAATTAATGGAGTCACCTGTAAAGTGTTAAGGCGTCCGGGTAAATAAAAAAGCAAACAGTTTTTGCGGGGGTTCGACCTCAGCAAGAGGCCCGCCTAACTCTAAGAAACTTCTAGGTAATACCAAATATTTTCACTCAAAAAAATACCTCGAAGCGTAAAAATATATAGTTTTGTAATCATATTTCCTTTAGGTCAAGTGCAGTCACTGAGTAAACAGAAAAATAATTTCATAATTGAATGCGGGGTATCTTTCTGGAATTCTGCAGTTTTCAGCTCTCTTCGAATGTACTTTCTGGGCCAAGTCTATGGATGGGACGCATATATGTTTACATCCGTCTCTTCGACAGCCATGGGAGGGTGCTTTATAGTGGGCACGCTAGTTATGGCTGTGCTCACACGAAGGACTCGATTGTTTGATCTGTTGGTAGTTTTTGTCGGATACGCGTGTTTAACTCTAAGCTACGTTGCTATTGCACTGAGTCAGTTCAACATCTTCGCCTACTATGCTGGTATGTATGGTAGTAGTTGGAATTATGTCTATTACGCTTGCTTATACGCTAGTAATTAGCATAAACTGACATAAGTGACAATGGCAAGTGGTACATGCAGGAAATAAAATCAGAAAAAGTCAGAACTAGATAGAAATACCTAATGCTGGAAGTTCAAAGTAGATAATAATAAACATATTCAGAAACAAACTTTGGCATCAAATGTCGCTCAACTTATCCAAGGATAGTGAAACGATTCTAGAACGCGATATACGGTGAAAAAATCAAACGAGAATTAATAACTTTATAATATTATAGTGAAGGAATTATGAATAAGTTTCCGTAATGCTGTCGAAATTATAAATATAAAAGTAATTATGAGTCTAGAAGACGAAGACATTTTGTGAGAAGCGCGCTAGAATGTAAATTACTGGTAAGCTCAGGGAGTATTTACTAGTATTTGACCTGTTCTAATTGCAAGCATTTTTAAAAGGTTCTCGATCTCAGCCTATTTCACCATTGCGACCATAATATAAAACGTGTTATACCACTATGGCTGTAACGTAAACTTTATTGCATCAGCATTATTACAACGTGAACTTCCTTACGCCAGTATTATTAGTCAATTTGTTCTGTTTTTGAGGGTTGCATAAGTAGTCGAAATTCGATATATTCATTTAACACAGGCTTTTCGTTATTACATAAAAACGTTGATGTGCTGGGCAATGCAATGTTTCTGTGTAATTTCTCGTAATTATTTTGCATCTACATTTCATTACATGATTTAACTTGACTTCGAGCATTAGTATCATCATTCAATGTGTCGTTTCCTTAAAGGTCGCATACCTAGTCGAAGTTTGGTAGTACAGTTTTACACGAATTTACATTAGTACACGAACTTTTCGCTATAATCTGAAGGCATTGCACAGCAATCTGTTCCGGAGATATACCGGATGCTATATTAGACAATTATGCAGTTAGATTATTATTTTTCTATATTGAAGTTTAATTACTGTTGCCATAGATTGATGCCATTGGAGAACTTAAGGCAACTTCAAGTGAGCATAGCTCTTCAGTCGCACGATTTGCCACATGGTCAACGGAAAATATTACTATTGCATTTAAATCGCTGTGTCCCTATAGATACCAATCACTAATGCGCACCGAATCCAATTTCAGCTATAGAAGATTGTAGCCTTTGACCAAGCAGGCGTCACTCTCGAATACGATTTTTTGAAAGCCTTCTAAGATGTGCGAGCAATGCCTCTTCAACGATTCACTAAAAATGCGCTGTGTCAGTAACGCAACGCCAGGTCGCTTGCTAGTAGATTGCGGATCGAGTTGAATAACCGCTTGGTGTCATTACCTGTAAAAGCTAAAGATGCTGTAAAACCAAGTACGTATCTGGTGTAGTGGTTGCAGGCACAATCCCTAGGTGGACTATGAGTAGTATTGCGCGTCATCAAAGCAATATAACATTCAGCATGTCCTCTTGTGACCCTTTGTAGGGTTGTTTATACAGTGTGGCTCTAGAAATTCAGTGAGACTCTTTCTACTGGTCATATCTGACATCTTGTCTGTCATGTCGGAAAATTATGCTGCAGTGAAGTTTATCTTGATTACCCGGTGAGCTCGGGTGGCCCATAACCGGCAATGTCTTATACCTTTCTAATTAACATTATAGATTTTGTGATTTTTGGCTAAATTCCTGAGCGGGGCTTGTAGTAACTGTGGTTGCCATATATATTTAACTCACTCTTCGCGTTATCTTCCTTACACATCATCGCGTAAAATATATTCCATATATCACATAAGCTGCTTACTTTAGCTTTGATTTAATTGTGCCCGGTAATGACTTTGTGTATATCGTATTTGACAAGTGTGTTAGCTGGTTGATTTTCAAAAAACCCACATGAGTTGACATGCATTACTGTAGTCCTGCAGTTGTAGAACTATTGCAGCTTGTTGTTACAGCTGTTATGTTCCAGCCGAAATTTAAGTGGTGTATGCTAGTTGCTAGTTGTGTCAAGCAAAATACGCAGTCCAGAAGTGGACCGCGTTAATCTTACTAGCATGCTTCAGGAAGTAACATTGCGAAAACCCTGATAGTTGTGATGACCTGATCCTTTTTATCGCTTTTCCGGGTAATATACCACAGGAAGATCAGGAACTTTCAGCCCTTTGCTCACGGCCCGTAGTTGGTTTAGTGCTTCCGCTACAAACAACATCATCAGAAAATCTCTATGTATTTACGCGGGTATTGCATCACATTCATCAAAAGCGGAGTCTATAGCAGTTATTCTAAGGAGGCTTCTGTGTTTCGGATTTTATGTCGGGTATCGTCGTCAGACGTTTCATCAGACGGCTAAATCCTAGCACGAAACGAAGTGTATTTATATCTAGGTTCAAACCCAAACCACAATGAGTCCCTAAGATTAGTAGGCAAATGCATTACCCACTAAGCTATTGCTAAGGAGACCTACATCTATATTACCATATCAAGCCATAGATGAGTCTAACTTTATTAATTAGATTGCTTAGTTAGACCTATTAAACCGCTCATAAATTTTAATACGTAAAAGGTAAAGGACACAAGGTTAAATCTCCATGTGACTTGGCACCTGTTTTTTGATAGCCTAGTCACATTAACGCTTTGTGCTTCAGTCTATTCTATATTCCGAGTTCCACTAAAAAGCAGAGCACCATGGAGTTTCGATGCACGTGTGGTACTGTAGATCCCTGAACAGTAAGATTCTGTCTTACTGTGGCTGTGGTCGTCAACTTATGCAATAATATCTTAACTGACGAATCGAAACTTGCCCGCGATTTAGAAACTAGTGTTAGGATACACCTAGTGAACAATCAATTTATAAAGGGTCTAACACAGCTGCAATGTCCAACTCTGGGTAGGAATTTTCATTGATTTCACTGGTATCGATTACATCGCATTTGGTCGTATTTTGTCTCTACCTTTTATGACGCTATCTAGCTTGAACCCCAGAATGCATCACGGGTTGATTTAGTTAATATATAGAATGCATCATAAACCTGGTTCTTGCTCCTCGTTTCTAATAATTTTAGTTTAGACGCCCATAGTTTTGAGTCCCCACATCCTGTTATGCATTACATGGAACACATGTGCTTGATAAAGACAGACCAGAAATAGACTTCAACTTTAGCTATATAGAGATTAACTTTAGATATATAAGGATTGCGTGACTACGAGGCTAGGCGTGTATTTCACGGTAGACAAATAATGTACCCTGACATCTACATGCAGGACTTGGATTTTCTGGCTTGTTTTCTACGTTTTCCTTTTGCGGCACTAAATTTTAAATTTAAAAAAAAATAAAGAAAGGAGTACATGTGCCTTAAAGAACTTACGTTGACTGTATTCGATAGACGATTAGGCCAAGTTTCACCTACAAAGCAGCAGAGGCTTTGCTAAAGAATGGATGTTTCAGAGGACTAAATGAGCAAACATCATTATTTTCAACAACGAAAATATGGCGCTACAATCATCGACATTTTTTAGAATGATAGGGGTCCCATAGAGTGAGGGGTAAGTATATCAGGGTTGTTTATAGCCCGATAATTGAGCTACCTGCGTATCAACAGAAAAAAATGCCAATGAAAATTTTAGTCTAGGTAATGACCTGCCCCGTAAATTTAAACTAATCCTCTAACTTAGCAGCTAAAGCTGCGATTCGGTTTGTGTGAAGGAAAATAAATTTTTCTACTGTCAGGTGCAAACTTAATCAAGTTTGCAAAAATCAAAAGCAAACAGATTTGAGAAGGGTTAGTTTTATGTTCATACTGAGTTCGTCTAGTTAATATACGGTGTATAATTTTGACTGAATGTCTTCCCAAGCTGATGAGAAGAGCTAAGAGGATTATTTTAAACTGTTGTAGCAAATACACAGTACGAAAAGCTATTAAACCGAACTACCGTTTATTCAAGGCGAAACGCGTTTTTTATTTTCAATCTTAGCTTTCTTGAGGCTCAAATAGGCTTTATCAAATGATCGATGGCCAATGGTGACATGATTGCTTGGCCTGGTTTCTATCATGGAACGCTTATACGAATGTAAATCGCTCTGGTATCGGGAACCACTCCTCCGTGGAAAGTGGAAACAAAGTAGTCTTCAAACACCCGATAGTCACAAATAGTAGGTCTTTTTTTGTAAGTGATATGGTTAACATTTAAATTTTTATTGCTTTTATATTATACTGCAAAGGAACTTCATTGCTCTGGAAGTAAATTGCAAGAACATCGATCCCGTTGGCTATGACGTACGTACTAATTTCGGGCTGCATACTAGGTAATCAAATTACTTTCATACAATAATCAGAACAAATTCCTGGTGTGAAACAACAGCCTCCGTGAAGGGTATTACTGCAAACAAATTCTGCAAAAATATAAACAAATATCTGTGTATTAAAATAAGTTTTAGCTATAAAAACAAGGTCCACTTTATTTTTGCGTTAAATATTATTTTTGATCTGTCTTATCATTTCTCTTCACTAACTGAAGCTCTTTTATGTAAACAGCTCTATGTCAGTGTTTATTGATTTTTAGTTATATGTTACATTTTTCTAGATTTGCCTTTTTGGTATACGTGACTTGACCGAATCCACTATATTAGCCCTGAAATTAGCTAAAAAGGTGCGTAATTTAAAAATTAAATTTTGGATGGTATGGAGGAAAATACTCCATCTCACAATATGTAAAAAATCACAAACAGTTTTGATATAGAACATTTCGAAGAAAGCTTAAACGTTCGGTGCATGTGGACATAAATCAACTTTAATACGTACTTGTGCTGTACAAAAAAGTACAATACCTATATTGCCGAATTGAGTTAAGATTAGATATGATAGACAAACTACTAGTTCACTAGTCAATCAATATATTCATTCACAATGCTTTCTTGTCTGAAGTAAATTGAAATAAGTACTAGTTGCGTAAATAAAATAGTTAAACATAATATATATTAAATAAAGTAATGCATATGCATGAACTGGCATCATCATTATTTCTGTTTCTTTATAGCTCTGAGTTTGCAACTAGCACCCGTGATTGGTTCCGTATATTTGCGATCGCACCTATGCCTACTCTTGGAAAGTTTCGAATTCGCGCCTGTGTTTTCTGCCATCTGTATTATACAACGGGCTCTACCGCTTTTGGCAAATAGCCTATTAAAGGTACAAGAGAATTTACGTTTGTAATATTTCTTGTGGAGACGACTTGAAACTAGTTGAATGTTAGATATTAGATTACAAACTTTTTACTTACCATTGTTGCCATGATTTGGACAAATGGAGAAAGACTGTGATTACGATTTTCGTCGTCATAAGCTGATATACGTCTTAATCGCAAAGAGTTGACAGTTAAAGTAAACGTTTAGTATGTTCTTCTTACTCTTCTCCCTATGCAAAAGTTCTAGAACCATTTATGTAATAATTACTAATGATTATTTGCACACACTTTTACTATAGATAAACACAGTGATTTACTAGGCTCTGAGAAATATTACCAATTTCTCTTAAATACACAATTTGTAATCAAATGAATGGTATAAAGTCTCTGTGGTTAGCCAGAGCGTAAAGTACTGGCGATCAATCAGTAGTGCTTATTTTTGTAACAAGGTATAACACTGTATATTCACGAATTTTTTTGTGAGCTAATTTGTGTCTTGTCGTTTCGTGTAAAATAGAGATTAGTTATGGTAAAATGACGTATGCGTACGAGCACGCATTTGTGATTCTAATTCGTCAATTCTGGCACTATCCATAATGTTAAGTATCCTTAGAAATACAACTAGTCAAATTGAAGTATTTCGCTTAACAGACGCGTTTAATGAAATAAAAACCCATAAATTGAAAATACATACATGAACCCTTTAAGCATTTCATTGACTTGCGACCGAAACATTAATTTTATTTTTCTAACTTACTTCTGATACCATATATCCAAAAGAGTTTACTATCATCCGAGACCTTGAAGAGTTTCATGTCACGCACTAATATTAAACTCACCGCGCCGTCTCAAAGGTGGAAGTGGCGTTCTAAATATATGTCAACTTATCGCATAATATAATAGACCATTTTGACGCATATGTATTTATTCTGACACATCTTACTTCATTAATAAGGCATGTCCTTTTATGGCAACTACACTAAGCATATAATGAGTGTACGTATGGCACTTGTATATTCGTAACGTTTATAGAGTTAATTTTTTATTTCAGATGTTTGTCACCTCTGCAATGTTCAGCTCCTGTCCATTTTCGATCTTTTTGATTTTGGCAGGGATTTTCATCGTGCCTACTTTTACCTCATTGTATGAATTTTAACTTTTTTATTACAAAACTAAACGTGAACCATGCACATTACATGCTGGATATGTATAAACGCACTTTCCAAGAGCTGTCTCTATTTCACAGTAGTTTGATTCATGAGATCTTAACACAGCTAAAAATGAGGAGCAAGTCGCAACTTAACTCTAGATAACAACCACAATATTTATGATTTATCTATGTTTCTATTGATAATAGAAGCTAGGTGATTAACTACGAAAAGTCAAAAAACAGCGAGCAGCATAATAACTAGCTAGAAACAAACTTTACTTTGTTTAATTTCAGGTACATCTATTCAGTAACCAGAAGTAGAAGTTACGTCGCTCATCAGAGACATTCCACCGTGAATTCCAATACACCGTAAAAGAGACTTCTAACCGTAAAATCAATATTTAACCATCAAATCATAGTTTCTGTATGCAGTATATTTCCACAATAATTTCAATCACTCAAATATTTTGAAAAAAAAAAAACAATTTTCAGTAAAAAAAAAACATTTTACTTTTTTCTCTTATGAGAAACAAGGTGAATAGTACACGTTGCGCAAAAAACCTTCTACTCTGGGTCTTGGAAAATAGTATTGCCAACTCTTGTCATGTGCAGCTTGGCATTGTGCAAATAAAGGATGCTTGTTCTTCCCACGCAGAAGCTATAGTCCGTCTAAGACCGTTTTAGTGGAGATAGTACTTTTGATTTCTAGAAATAGAATTCTGTGTAGAATCTTGTCATTGTGCTTGTCTGTTGTCGGTTGTTGAACGAGCTACTGAGAAACAATGAGAAACCATATTTTTCAATGCTCATCACTCAGTAAGACATCCAGGCTCCTGATTTTTCAGTAAATCCCATAGATTCCAATGGTCAGATTATTGAAGCTCGTTTTCTCAACCAATTCGCGAATTATTTGCCGACCATTTTCCTTGAAAGGTGCCTTTACGTAGTCTTCGTCGACCTCGGATGCCCGACCAAGGCAACGGAATCATAACGCTTTATTAGATGTGCTTCGAGAGATACCAATTTTAAGTAATAAATTCTATTGCACAATTCGTCGAGAAGTTTTTTTATAATTCTAGCCTATTCTATTCGTTACTAGTAGGACCTTAAATGCAGCAACCTCCTAAATGTTCGTCAATAGGTTTCTTCAATACAGTTGCATTTAGAAAACAATGGTGCATTCTTCTGCAACAGAGACATATCTTAGTGGTATTAAGATAACTTAATCCAATTTGAATAATCTCTTGTAAAAAATATTTCAAATAAGAAATGGTCTGGTTATTGTTGTCTCTGCAAAATATTATAACCACATAATATTTAAACAAACTTAAACATTTTGTTTAAACTGAACTTCTCCAACTTTCGTTTGTTCTTCTGTTTTACAGATAGAACATGGTTAAGTTCGAAGTTCACAGTAAGTAACGCTATTTACTGGGTTAACCGGTAGTGTGCAGCTATGGCTGGTTTAGGTGAGTATTACCTGCATTGTAGAGGTAACTCATCATACGATTGTTTTGTTATGCGGATTTATTGGCGCTTAGCGGACACAAGTATAACCAGGCAGTTGGGCTACTGGACAAAAATCGGCCTACCACTGACTTTAATTTTTATCACCATAAAAATGGCAAGTCATTGTTTACTTGGCTCATTTAGATCCTTCATAGTACTTTAGGACGAATTGAAACTGACTAGCCTGACTACTTCCAATTTTAGACACTCCATTTTCGTTTCCATTGGACACGTAAAAGATCCATTGTGAGATTGAGGATAAATATCTTATTTCTTTAACCCTGTAACTGAATATATTATATCTATATTGCAACCACATGACATACGAATGTTCTTCTATATTTAAGAAATACCTAGTGCCAAATTTTATTTTGTTGTCGACCGGTAGGTTAAAAGAACCTCACAATGTCTGTTACAGGAAGAACATGATAACCGCGAAAAAAAAAAACAATGTAACCATGCACATTAGCACACCATATTTAAAGCAGTCTAGTAAAGAGCACGGACGGCCATTTCGCTGGACCTCCGGGATCTTCTTGCTTCGTTACTTGTATTATTTCAACTGTAGCTTCTGTTGGGGGGTACATCTATTAATGAATAGGCTTCCCATACGTCCAAATGGTAAATATAACATTACCAAACAGAATTTTCGGTCTGATACAAATATGTGCTGCCTAACTCTTACTACAATTGATATAATACGCTGTTTTTAATCTTTAAAGTTCTCAAACACTATTGTTACACTAAGTAAGGGAAGACATTATTATATACAAGTCATCGACCGGGTACAAGCCACAAAGTTTCAATGAGGTAGTGACAGTTTTTCGTCTAAGTTATCGAAAAGCCTTATCCTCTTGATCGAATGTAAGGATATTGTTACAGTGATAAAACATTAATACTGTCTTACTGTGAAAAGGTTAAGCTTGTGCACTTGGCGTACGACGCAGAAATTTGGGCTTAAGTTTGTATTATTTTAATTTATGGAAAGGGGACCGTCGCGAATTTTATAGAGAGGGCAGTCATGCTCTTGCAAAACTGCGTTAGCTATTAAAAACTTTTTCGGTACCTTCACTGAAGAAGCGTTAGTATGACAAGAACTTAGACTAAAACTAGCCAAAAGCTCGAAAGATACTACCATAGAGGTTTACGCATGGCACACGCTGTGCATCTTGCAGTGTCGGACGGTTTTGGCAAGCATCATCTGGTCGCAGAAGAAACAGTTATGGATAAAGCGGAGTAGCTTTGCATCGAAGAAGCTGAGGAGTTTGGTAAGAGTGAGAACCAACTAGAAAACGTCGACTTGGTCTTAAGGATATTTCCAAAAGATATGTCAGTTAATTTTTACGGCGACTATGACAAACGGTTATCGACCGCATTCTTCGTTTCCGAAGGCGACGCTCTCCGCTGTAACGCAATGGATGAGTTCTTGAAAATTCATTGGATACTCGGAAAAAAGCTTTCACTTCTTCTAGCTCTTGTTGCCGGGTGGAATGAACATCTAAGAAAGATTTAATAATTTGTTCTAATTTTTGCGGAAGTTTTCAAAAAGTATAATTGGGAATTTACTCTTCCGAAGTCGACTGCGATCAGATAAAAAAGATGGCACATATTCTGAATTTGGCCTATGACTGCAAACTTCTTCAACATAATAATGACACTCAGAGAGACGCGGTCAAGCAAAGTATCTCGTAATGTTTCTACAAAGCGTGCTAGTACGTCACTTTTTACTAAGGCCGTATTCGAGGTCCTAACAAACCAAGTAGCTTAGAGACCGACGTTCATGTATATTTTATCTCGCATCGTTGACGAATTCGTTTTTGAGATGGATAATGCTGCAAATTATTAAGTAAGTTATGAGAAAGTTCTGGGAAAAAAATGTAATACCAAAGGTGACCAGAAAAATCACATGTCATTCGCAAAGCCTGTCATCATTCCAACTGACTAACCACAAGTCATAAAAATTTAAATTTCTTAAATCCAATTCATCAAAGGTGTGTCAAAACTAACAACAATATAGCGGCAGCCGTAGTTGCCATGCATCTGATTGAAATAGATTGTGATTTGTAATTCGCGTAAAGATGGTAGCTCTACCAGAGAAGCATACTCTGGAGAAAATGCTTTCATTGTTCCTGACATGCAAAACTAAGTGTTTGGATAGGCTTCCAGACAAATGTTTTCAAAAGACATAGATAAGAAGCTATATATGACGCAATTATGCAAACAGTAGCCAATATAATTTATAAATTTAACAATGAAAACGTATAAAATATTTATAAAACGTAGAATCTAAATTGTACTACTCGAGCTTCTTCAGGTTTTAATCAATTACACTATTGCGCTGGATTACTCTCTTTAGATAAAATTTGTAGAAATAATATCTCATAGTTTTTGTCTACACAAAATATATTCTAGAATGTCGGTAAATAGCACAGTAGCTAGCTTCTGAGAAAATTACAACCAAGACACACATATAGATTATTATTTCCAGTTTTACAACCGGTACTTCCAATGAACATTATTTCAGAGTACTGACCTTTGCCATCACGAAACAAACCAATGCGGGTGTGCATTTCGTTCTTCGGCGTACATACCAATCGACATGAACCTATCACCTATCGGGAATACATATGCGATTAGTATATGCAGACACTTGATGCATGCTTGCTGACTGATCCAGCTTACTTTTTCGTAATGTGCTAAAAAAAGCAGAGCAGTCGTAATAGCTATATATTCAGAGAAATATGATAGGCCTTCACGGAAAGAATATCACTTTTCCGTGGCTTGTTTATGCTTTTATTTAATATTAAAAAAAGTTCATTGTTATTCTTAATCTCCATATCTAGGAACTACCTAATGCAATTTTTTTTAGACATCTTTAATTACTGCAGTGCAATACATAAGATATCAAACGTTCAGATGATATAATTTTATCGTCTTGTATCGCGTATGCATTCTTGACCTTACTTTCCTAAAGGTATTCTAGAAATTATGATCTCAGTGGTTATTCTTCATTTCTTCCCTGTTAATCTGCTTGAGTAGACTTTGAGAAATAAACTAATCGATTTCACAATGTTTTCTTTAAGTGTTCAATGAAAGTTAGTGTAGTTAAGCGCATGAAATTGGAAATTTATTTCTAACCGAGTACTAGTTGACGATCCAGCGTTCCTATCCAGATAACGGCTAATATATAGATGCTATTGCCGTGTTTGAAGGGCTATCTGGTTGACGCTGATTCGATTGTATTATTGACAAATAAGTTTCATCCTTTTTTCTCAGACTGACTACTAGTTGACGAAAAAGCTAGCTGCGCAATTTAACTAATTATACGATCGGTCATTTTCTGCTGCGTTTAAACGAAGGACTGTCATTTAACGAGCTCGTCACGGGTAATTAGTACGTTAAATTCAACCAATAAGAGAAACCAACTAATTTCTCAATCTAGAATAATATGTTAATAGTTTGGTAAGAAGAAAAATCTAACAGGCTTCCAAGAAAAGCTCCAGGAAGAAAATATTTTCAAGTATTTATGGAATAAATATTCTCAACAAAACCGCCATGTACCTGCCGGTTAGGAAATCGGCAGCACTGCAGTGCAAAGACAACTGTGATGCATTACCTCTTTTTCTTTCTCACACGAACGTATGACAGAGTGCAAGAAAAAAAACAGAAATCCAATAGGGGTAAAGCAGCGTTTAACCAGAAGAAGGCACTAAATGATATCGAGAGCTTTCACGAATTCTGTTACTTCCCAGGCGAAGGCATTGGAGTAAGGAAAACGAATGTCGTTCAAATAGACAGATAACCTTATACCATCACAAGGAATTTGTTCTCTGTTATTGCTATTTTTCATTGGGGTTTGCATCCACTTCCATGTAAGGTTTCGGCAATATATGGACGACATGTGTATGGCAGCAAGGAGCGTGTGTTTGCCCGCAATGCTTGTGATGCAAATCTACATATCAGTATGTAATGTTTGCATGTAATAGCAGCAGGTGTAGAAACGAGCAGTGTAGTTCTTTTAGCATATTTAGTAATTTCTAAACAATCACCCATTATCGTGTTCAAACACGGATTTATATTATAGTTAAATAGCTGACGAAGCCTTTCCGATATTACGATGGAGGTTTTTTACACGTTTTGGGACCGATTTATTTGAATTTCGATACAGAAAGGAATAAGCCAAAATATGTTTCCAGTAACGGAAAAAAGCAGATTTGTAGTCCCATACTAAAAGCTGGAGTCTATTGGCCGTAGCGCTGGTTTACAGGGTAATAGTCTCTAAGTTAAATTATAGTAATTCAAAAAAATACGAAAAACGCTGTAGTTCGCTACGCAGTCTGGTTTCGATGCAGAATCAATACGCTAATGAAATTAGAAATGTGAGAAAAAAAAGTTTTATGTCTTTGAAAAAATTTAACCTGGAATTAAATGGCACTAAATATTCATCTAACTTTTTAAGTTTAGAATCAATGATATCGGCAAGCAAAAATTATTGTGTTCCTTTATTGCAATCTGCATGTTATTAGTGGTCTTGAACTTCTTATACTAAGTGCTTCAAATCCAATCTTAAACATTTAATTAATTTATATATTTAAAGAAATTATTTACACATGCTTGCACGTCCGATACAACTCAATCAACGCAACGTACGTTTGTTGAGTCTGAATGTTAGAAACCGGTTGAGTTGACAATTAGCGCAGTAGTAAGTGGTGACCCTTTGGAGTACGAACATCACGTGATATTTTCTTTGGAGGAATGTGACTACTTTATACAAAGGGCTCACGGTTCTATTGCATAGTTTATCGTCGAGTGTCTTCCACAGGGGCGATTTCTTCCGCAGACATAAGTCAAGTTCTTTAAGTAGATCTTTCATTGTACCTGTGCTGCGTTTTGTGATCGCTAGTTACATTCATGTTTTTTGACTTCCATGGTTTTAATGGTTTTATTAGGACAGCGCTTGTATGTTTCTCAAGAATTAATTAAAGAAAAAAAAATAATTTCTATTTTGTTATTTTCATTTAAAACTAATAGGTCATTCACAGACACACTAAACTTCCAACAATGTCGAAATAATTAATAGCCTGACTCATTTTGTAACTATGAGCGCATGTAAGGTGTTATAGGACAGGTTGGTTTTAGGTTCAAGCTCAAACTGTGATGGTTTTGATTACCCAAGCTTACATAAACAGTATCAACATTCATAATGAGTATATCTGTATCACACGGCTGTCTTGCGTCAGTTAATTAGCCGGTTAGTTAAGAATTACAAGCTAAATCTATGCTTCTACGTAGAATCGTATTGCCTTCTTATCTTTCCGGTTAAGCTTAACCCGTATACTGTACACAACGCAAACATATTTTGACCCTCCTCCATTTTTATTATTCACTTTGTGCCGAAACATATAATTTTAACTTTAGACGTAATGCATTTCTTATAGTAAGAATTCGCAATTTGTATTTTAGTGCTGTTTGAATATAAGACAAGTACGCTCTTGGTAACTATTGGACTTGATGAGTGGTGCAGTTAGTAAAACAGGTAATTAGTATACCTTCCTATTACAAACATCTGTTACAAATCTGCAGTGATGCATTCAGTAAATGAGCTCGGTTCGTTGGTGCGTGTCATTAGTTAACGTAAGCTTGAATAATGTTATAGGTTTTCTCGTTATGCTATCGACTACAAAGCTTCGGACATTGTGACCTAAGATGCTTAAAGTGAAATTCAGGGACAAATATTGACAAATATCAATGCCAAAAACCATTTATGCATTGATCAACGTATATATACAGATTTTTCTAACAAATTCGCAACTCAGTTCTCTCCGTGAATGTTGTGTCTTCTTGATACAACAAACGATTTGCAATTAGTTTACAAAAAAGTTCTGTTCGGTACATTTCTGTACTCTTTTTTGTTTCTCTATGTACTTTTTTTCTATGTAAGATCTGACACGAGCCCAAAATGAGACAACTTCAATTATTCAGCCAATTTCACTCTAACGACTGTTGGTGTCTAATGCTTGTTGTGTTAGTCCATAGTTTCAATCGAGACTAGACTAAACTCTTTGGATTTAGTTGGGATGCCAACAGTACGTTCAATGATATTATTGAGAAGGTGCGACATCTGATCCCAGCTTCTAACCATATTTATATGAATAAATCTCTTCACATAAAGCTGCATAAGCACATTCATACTTTAAGATACTAGTTGAATACCACTTCTCACTTCGAGTCTAAACCGATGAACTTCTTCTGTTGACCTCGAATTGCCGAAAAATGGTAGCTTCACTTTTTCGCGGGTTGTCTTTCGGTATGCAAACTAATAAATAAAAGATTGAAAATTGCATTTTTGAAAATTGATAGTTTCCAATTGCCGAGGATCTGGTCAAAAACTTAAGTACTTCATTGGGTTCTTCTTTAATTCTTGTGGCGTTCCAAGGGAGGAGGGCATTTCACTTGTGAACCACTAGAAAACTTCCTGCTAAATGTGATTTTATAGTGATCAGACCTTCGATCTACTTCTCAGGAGGCCTTACATACGCGTATGTCGGGTCCCCCTGCATGATAATAACCCTATTCTATAATGATTGGTATGGATGATCTCGTCAAGGTTTCATTAGTCGCACCAGTCCACGACAAGAATGTCAAGTTTTTAGTGGACAACTACAGCCTGATAGCTCAAGAGTTCATAGCTTGCTTATTTCAAGAAAGAAATTAGTCGACTGCATTGATGTCAACCCAATAGAGTGATAGCTTTTTGATTCCAACCAACATGAGTCTATACAGGGTAATTCAAGTGTAGCATATTACAATGATCCAGGTCTGGGCATTATATCAATATCGCCACAAGAAATTTGGTTATATATACGTCGATCTCCCAAAATTCGGCTTTAGAAGGGTTTGCCTTGTAAACACCTAACAATTTAGTTTCGATGCCTTTTTGATACTTTTTTTTAGATGTTTAAAGTGGTTTTCCAGCTGGAGTTCAGCATAAACCCTATGCAGATTCCTTGAAACTATGTGGCTTTTCTAGCAGCGGCAACCGCCCATTAATTCAGCGGACGTTCGACATTGCGTTTATGTAATGTGTCGCCAAGAACATGATCATCTCTCTCAGAAAATGCATGATATTATTTCTTTACAAACAATCTATTAAATTTACTTCAAATGATGCCTGTAGTCAGCGCGCCGAAAGATTTAGGAATTACAATCACGCCAGAACAAGCTTTTGATTTTCATATAAATCATATCATTAAATCAGCATTACTCACCGTTGGTATTAACTTCAAATGCTTCGTGTAATAATTAAAAATCCAACTTTACAAATACAAAAATCTTGTAGTTATCATATTTCTAACTCATTCTGATGTATGGTAAGCTTATTGGGGAAATTATAGACTCTCTGTAACGAGTCCCTTTTTTAGCACATTCACCTTCATATTTGTTGTGAATAGAGCTAAACATCTTTTAAGCTCAGATCCGTATTGTACTCTTGAATCGACCATAACATGTTCTAGAAGCTATTTTGATCCGGTAGAATGTCATACATAATTTATAATCAAGAAAACCGCGACGAGAGATGACTATATCAATAAGAGCAATCCGAACTGAGGGGCTAAATAACACTCATTTTTGGAGCACTGTCTGTGGAGTTTGTCACACATGAATTCAAAGGAATTAATTCGAAGAACAACTGTGCCGCAAAACTATTATTAATGTGATGATTGAATTAAATTATGACCTCACTTAAAGATACACGCTTGATGAGATCATACTGTGAATTCAATCATCGCGTGGCTTGTTTTTCTATTAATTCTAATGCAGTAAGTACGCACTGCATACAAACACCGTGCCTCTTTTTACGAACACGCCACGGTTTTATACGGTTTTCAACACAGAACCCAAACAGGTTTGTCTTTCTGCTGTTTCTTGCTCGCGTTTGTTCTTCAAGTGTTTTCTTTGCTCTAAAATTACCTTTTTTGCTCTGAAACATCTAGTTCACATTGATGGTTGTCCGAAACGGCCGTTTGTTGAACTTGGGTCCTTTTCTCCTCAAAGATTATACTGTGAT